AAACTTTAAATTATTAGAATATTGTCCTATAACCTGGAGGAACTGGGGGAAACACAGGCTGATTTTTTATCATGAAAATGTCATCTGAAAATAATGTTATTTTTATTCAGGTTTATAATACTGTTCAGTCTAAACAAAATCAAATTATTTTGAAAGGGTTATAAAAGCAGCATTCTTTTCACTGGAGAAAGGACTGGGGTTTATGTGATTATGATGGCAAGACAGTGCATAACATAGAAAGAATTCTTTTTTGGTCACTCATCATGAAGCAGAAGACAATGCATCAAAAGTCACCCCAAGTTGGAAAAAATAGAAGGTTATTCTGTCTGAGGGAGCAGAGAACAAAATAAACCACAAACTCCACTTTAGAGGTACCGAAGGATGATTGTACACTAAATGTTACTATTCCCTTTCAGGCCCAGCAGAAGCAGTAAGGGAGAAGCAGTGCAGTTTCAAAGAGGAGGTGATGGGGAAGAGAAATGATGCATTTGGGCTTCTGCATTATTCTTTTTAACAAGATAATATTAGTTATTTTATTAAATAAATGCTGACTCAAGTCAACAGTATTGCAGTTTTAGGATACAAGTTGTTCGTATCTGTGGGCATCTTGGGATAGATGGTGTAGAAGTTTTGCTCTAGCTTATGCTCCCACTAAAAGGGAATTAAATGCAAAAAGTACAGTGGGAATACAGCTGCATGCGGCAGGGTAGGACATCTACATGAACATGGGGAACACCATAAAGGAGGGAGCTGGCATGATTACTAAGTGACCAGTATTCAGTTTGAAGCTGGAGGAGCCCACCTTTCCTTCCCAGGAAAGCCACCTTTCCTTCCCAGCGAGGGGGTAGGCATTTGGAATAAGGCGCTGGAGCTTAACATGGGAAAATAAGTGGGAGGCTGTGAATACGTGAACTGTTATGCTTCACCCTGACACAAAACCACTCTCCCAGCCATCAGCGGTTCCTCTTCAAAGGCACAAACCTGGCTTCCCTCTATGCTTTCGCTTCATATTTCTCATCTCCAACAGAATCCTATCTTTCTTCCAGGCATCGCTCTTCTTTCTTATACGATTTCTGGCTTTTCCATTGCAGTTCCCCATTCTGAGTACTCCTGGGTGCATCTCAAATCCCTGCAACTACAGTATCAACACTCCTGTGATGACTCATGTTCTCACTTTCTCCTCCAGTCTGCTTCATCAGACTGGCTAATTACAGAAGCTGAGCCTTTTGACTTCTGAACTTCTAGACTGCAAGCAATTATTCCTTTTAAGAATTTCTTAGAAGCATGCAGAAAATAAGTTTCCTTTTTTTTTTTTAAAAAAAAAAAAAAAGGCTGAGATTTCAGTATAAAGAACTTGAGAAGCCCTTTTCAGAAAAAAAATTCTACAAGATAGTATTTATTCTTATCTCTACTCACTACACATTTCCTTTCCCACTACTTTCTCCTTCCTTTTATCTATTCCCTAGGAACCTGACCCAGGGTGTTTGTGGAAATGTATGTAAAGAAATGGTAAAGTCCTGCAAAAATGGTCATAAAATGTCACTGGATCACCAAGGAACAATGGGCAATGAGATACCATAACAGGACATCATGGAACCTTCAAGTTCTGTTTTTATTTTAAAAGAAAATTAAATGCAAATCTCATCTGAGGCTCTCATACTACTCAAATTGGGCTTGAGTGCAAGTAATATTTCAATTATTATCTAAAAGTGCTGTTCCACAGGACAGGTTGAGCCAACCTAAAAGCTTATGGCCCCTCAGGGGACTGTTCTACCCCACCTTCTCCCTGGCCATGTGCTCCCACTGCTTCCCTCCTGGCTGGCATTAGTCCATAACACTGGCAAAATTCAGCCCCCTGAAAAGTACAACCAGCACCCCAAGGAGGGAAAAAAAAAAAAAAAATGTAATTTACAACTCAGACAAGCATCAGTCTCAGCAAAGGGCTGGGACTGAGACTGTGTGGAGCAGTGGGGTAGCAGTGAGACAACATGACAAGCCACAGCAGAGCAGAATACCTGAGACCACCCAGAACAGCATCATTTGTTCTGGGGGATTTTTTTTAGCCAGATTAGCTCCTTGCTCTCATTTGTTGTGTTGCAGAAACAAACGGCTGGGAACAGGAGAGTCAAGGGCCTAAAATCTGAAATAAACACAGATGCTGAAAAAGAGCAAGCCCCAAATAATACCTTTTTCCATCTCAAGGCAAGAATCACCTCTTGACTCAGGTGCATGCCTGGTGCTATGACCCTATTTTTTTTACCTCCTACCACCACTATTCCTGTAAGCATCAAAGCTATGGCTCAGTACTCATTAACAACTTGCAACAGGAAATCCAAAAGACTTGCAAATTCACTTGACTTAAATTCTGTTCATTTCAGTAGCACCTATTAAATTTCCACAGCAATTGGGCTAAGAAAAGCATGAAGTCTTGATTGGTTTCCTATGCACAGATTTTATGAAAAAAGTTTCTGCAGCATGAATACATAGTACATATTCAGTGCACAGTACTGAATTTGATTACGCTGTGCCAGAGACACACATTTATGAATAATGCGAAGTTAAAAAAAACCACAGCCAAAAAAGTAACATTTAGGATATTCTTGCACTCTTTGTTATGTCACTAAATTTTTTTCTAGTGCATTCATTTACTTTCTGGCTTCAGAAGAGTTTGTTTCAACCAGAGTGATGAAATACAGCTAGAATAGTTAGGATACTCCACCAGGAGAGGAAAAGTGAGGGGTAGCAACCGAAGATGAAGCACATCACGGCATCTGCAGACGTGCCATGGGTACAAGGACCTGTTCAAGCAATCCCCCCTCCTTTGCCCACACCACTCACTAGACTCTCCCAGATTGACAGGGCTCCTATACATGTGTAGGAGCAGATGGAGAGGTGACTTTGATAAGGTTTTTGTCAAAAACAGGGGTATCCATGGGCAACCAGGTCCACATGCTTGCTGCTTAAATGCCAGCCATTGTTAATTAGGTACGTGATCCCTCTTGCAGGCCTGGGCCAAGAACCCAAGCAGCATCAAAGGCATTTTGTCCTAAGTGCAATAGAAATGGCAATGAAAAAAAACAGTTCATTCCCCAGGCAGCTCACAGTTTAATGAGAAACTACAAGCAAGTGGGAAGAACAGACAGGATGAGAAAGCCAGGATATAGCTGGTCACACAAACATCTGCATTTAGGGCTTTTAAAGCAAACAAAAATCAGCTGCTCTATTTCAGTTTTATCTGCATTAGTTTTATTTCACTTGACAGGTCTCAAAACAAATAGGTGAAGGGGGGGATTGTCCCCACCTTGTTTCTAGTGGGCTACCTCAGGAATCCATCCAGGTCTCGGTGCTTTTCAGATACTGTTTCAATTCACAGTTGGCAAAATTTGAAAGTCATACAATTGTAGTAACTTAGATGGAAGTTGGTAACTTGGTTAGGGAAACTCACTCAAGCCACATGGTTTAACATGACTAAATACACTGTTAGGAACAGACTGTGGGTTATGTGCTCTGGCTCCATGTTTCTCCCAGTGTCACTCATCTGCTGAATGCCATGCGCCACACTGCATGCATGAGCAATGGAGCAGGCTCCCCTGCACAAAAACAACATCAGGCAGAAAGAGAATGATGGTGTTCCTCCTGCAGAAAACATTAGTGAGACCATTAATGACATGCTGCATCCAGTTTCCACTGTCATACTTCAGAAAGGATATTTACCACAAAATGTTATACCAACTCAGAACCTTACGCTGTAGGGGTAATAGCTGTAGGGATAATCTCGGTCCATTTATCTAGGAGAAAACCAAGGGCTGACTTGACTCAAAACTACAGCTGAGAAGTCCTTAACCTAAAAAGTGAAGATGTGAAGACATCACTGGCTGGGATCTAAGGTTAGACCACTTCAACTGATGAACTTTTGGAACAATTTACTTACTGATGTAGTGGCTTCTCCATCACTAAACTCTTTACATGAAGATTAATCATCTTCTCAAAGCCAAGCTATAACCCAAAGAAATACTGTAAAGCAGAACTTACCATCATGGAAATGATCACACTAGATAATAGTAATTCATAGGTATTAAGACTAAAAAGGATTATTTCCATTATAAATCAACTATATTCTTCCAGGCATCATCAGATCCATCATGAAACTTGGATCCCAACGCAATATGCAGATACAGTAAAGCAGCAAGAATGCAAATGTGTAAACTGGTAGTTTAGCCCATGAAATCTCTCCAGCAGGAAAAATGCACAAGTAATTAAAAAGAAAAAATAAAAGTTTCATTTTCATCCCTGCAAACACAGGCAGGCCACCGCTCTACCTGTACACAAACTGAAAGAAAAAGGAGGAGAAAGAAGAGGTACATGGACACACACACAAAATATTTTAGAAAGTTCTGTTTCCTTGTAAATCAACACTTTTCCTTACCCTGGCACTTTAGACTGCATAGGTATAGCACTTAAGTTCTCGGACAGACTGGCAATATATCATTTTACTAGCATAAAGCTCTGGTCACTTAGTAAAATTTTAGTAAACTTTAACTTCCCTTTATTTGGGCAGAGGGTGAGAGTTGAAATAATAGGCACAGATACACAGGTGCCTTTATGGCGAAGAGGCTTCTGACAGCTGGGGCATGCAGGTCTAGGAGACTCTTCCACTGCACAGTTAGCTCCTGTCAGCTGTAGAAATAGCACCCGACAGAAAAAGTTTGCTGCTCTTTTTCTTTTTTTCATTCTCCTCTCAGGGAAAAAGCATAATATAGAAAGAAGTGTTTGTGGTCCTTAAGCGTTTTGTATATTTAACTGAGTTGAGTAACTTAAACACCCAAGGCATTTTATTTATCATATATTGTTACATTTTTTAACTCATTCTACATTTAAGCTATTATTCCATGGAGATCTGAGTTCTCCTGATAGGACTGAAAATGCCACTGCATATAACAGCTTCCTCCAAGCTACTGACAGAAGAATTTGCATTTCCTTGTCCAGCAATTTGAAAATACTTTCTTATAAAAATACTTTCTCTTTAAAAGCCTTACTCATGTCGATTTTAATATTCCTGAGATAACAGTCAATTGTTGTTTTTTTTTTTTCCCCCTGAGACTGCCCTAAAATATTTGGCCAAAACCAGCATAAGCATTATTAATGCAAACAGCAAGCTTGTTGTTACAAAAGGTTTTATTATGTCCATCTGGGTAAAACCTTCTTTTCTGTTCCTGGTGGCAGTCCATCGCCACACATCTCAGTCACACAGCAGTGCCAGCTGTGGCTGAGGGCTGTTCGCTTTCCAACTCTGACAGGGCGTCTGTTGGGCTTGACTGTCCCCGAGCCCCAGATTTCACCGCGTGCATTGCATAGTTAATGCTCGTGCTTTCCATCCAGCTCCATGACCCCGAGAGGGGATTATACAACATCCCATTCACAGTCTTGACCGAAAAGCCATCTAGAAAAAAAAGAAGCCATAAAGCAACAGATGTTCTTAAATATCGTTAAATCACTGAAACATCAAACCCTTTAGAACAGCATGTCTGAAACAGGCTGCCTCCTCTGAGCTGGGGAGCAGTGCTTCACAAGCTGGCCTTTGTCAGGCGCCACCACAAACGGTGGCAACAGGCACCACTGGTGACAGCGGGTCGTGCTGCTGGTAGCAGCAGCAATAGCTCTGTGCCAAGCCACGTACCATGAGCACACTATATGGTGAGCCACTGCGAAGCAGTATGCTAGAAACCTCAACTTCACAACACCACATCTGAGCGACTGGTAATGTTTTCTGTAGGTGGAGACATTCTCCAGATTGACATCACACATTTCAAAATGAAATTCTAAGTGTATCTTTGGAAGGAATCTGTAGGTTCCCCATAGGAATGGAAAAATATAAGAGGCAGAAGAATGCTATCAAGGACTCGGTGCAAGTAAAGAGTGATTTGGTACTCCCTGCTGAGCATCTCTCAGGTCCCTGCATGGCTCTGCTGTGTCCCAGCAGGATACATGAAGGAAGTCAGAAAACAAACACCCTAACAAAACAAATCACTCCACTGCACCTGCTTCTCCTTTTGAAGGGAGAATGGAAAGAACCACCAGCATGTGAACTAGTTATTAGTCATGTTCCTTACAGCATCACTGCAGTGTGCCAGGAAAAGACCTTGCCAAGAGAATAGCTCAACTCATACTTCAGCTTCTTTACAATGCACTAAAGCAAAGTGAAATATTCGGTGAGAGGGTTTTGAAACATTTGCAGGGAAGGAGGGCAATACGCAGAACTCTTCCCAGCTCAGTGCTCTGTCTATTTTAAAAGCAATCAAACCAGGGCAATTTAATTATTTCTTCAAATCAGTAACATACAGTTTCTCAACAACTGACAATGGATTTCATCTCCACATTTTTGAAGACATTTTTTAGTAACACAATATGAATAAAGAACACAGATCAGCAACCAAAAATAAAAACACCTTCTCCCAAAGGGAAGATGACAACGAATGCAGTGGCAGCAGTGCAGCTCTGGAGTGCAAATACAGTTATTTTCTCAGACCTGACCTAGAGCATATGAACCACTTCAGAACGTACATTCTGTCACCAGAACAGCAAGGAAAACTGGAATTTTAATTTAGACTATCAAATAGAAGGCAGCTGTAACAGTGATTTTGTCTGAGTAATCTCTGCATTCTTAGGACTCCACTTTGTTTATGTATTTTATGCAAAATCCAGTAAGCAGACATATCTTTAAGCTAGAAATGATATTCATAATATATGACTGGTAACTCACACAGGAAAAGCTGTGTATTGTTGCCAGCACTCACCCCACCTAGTTTATCCCTTTGCCATTTCCACAGGGACCATTTGGATACCCCTCTGCATTCCCATCATCTGGCCTGGAACTTACTTGATTCCAGGAGGCGCTCCAGCTCTTCAGGGGGAACAAACTTCTCCCACTCATGTGTTCCTTCTGGTACAATGCCCATTATTTTTTCTGCAACTACAATTCCCAGGACATAGGACAGCTGTGTTTTATTGATTGTAGTAATGAATAAGGAACCTTCAGGCTAATTAAAAGATTAAAATGTTCAATTAGAATAATATTTAATATTTTTTTAATTGTAAATTTAATCACACTATACCACATAATTTGTCTATCTACAAGTCTACACGCTGCAAGAACTAATTTCATCCCAGGATAGGTATTTTCAAGTATACCATTTAAATACAATAAAGAACATGATGTTCTAACAGTATGACTCAGTAGTCCTCAAAGAGTCAACATAATCAAAGTCTTGGGTGGTCTGAAAGCCATTTCCTTGTCCCAAAACATCGGACAAAGTCACTTATAACGTAACATTGCACATGAAATGGATAAATAAAAGGTATTAAGGCATATACAGTATCATAAAAATAAATGCTTTTTAAAATTAAATGTGCAAACCGCCTAATTTTTGAGACTGCTGAATGTCATGTTTGTTTTAATGATTATGAGGTCAAAAAACAAAGACAGAAATGAATTTTAAGTACTTAAGAGGCTGTTTGGTAGAAACAAAGGATAATTTCTATGTCCCCAGCAGACTGAAAATTAGTTACGCACTCCATTCAAGTAATATATATTCCGTCTAATGACCAGAAAGATAAATCAAGAGATTAAAGGAAAGCTGCTGCTTGTGTACTGGGCCTACCATCCTTCTTTACAAATGAAATAGCATCAGGAGAAATAAAACACCACCCGATTAACTCCAAGCATAACTACGACCCTTTAAAAGCCATCCAGGAGCACATCTGATGTGATGCTAGAGCTAGAATAGAATCCTGTGAGTCAGAAACATTATTACAGTCAGTTTCAATGCAGTCTGAGCCACAGCTGTCCATCAAGAGCAGCACTGCCATGCTTTCTCTCACCTGGGTGAAATCACATACAACCAGATTTCTTAAGGTCTTGATGCAAAGCAACACTGCAATGCTAGGTAATGCTATCAACACTTTTCTAAGGCAAGGCTGGGGAAACAAATTTCCCCTAACTTTAGTTACTTGAAGTTGAGAAGCTGTACTTGCATCATGGAGGAGAATGGAAGGCACCTCGAGAGCTCAGTTCAAGCTTCGAGGGGGAGAAATGAATGCAGATGTAGGTGTTTTCACATTTCTTCTAATGAAAGCCTTAATAGTAAAAGAATAAATATTTCCAATAATGAAAGCAAAAACTCGCTTACCTTTAACACCTGAGAGCAACACTTGATAAACATTTCAAGGTCAGCCACATGCTCCACTACTTCAGAAGCTACAATTACATCAAAGGTTTCCATAGACTCTTCCACAATCTCCTCCAGTGAACTGGACTTGTACTGTATTCTCTTGGCCAGGACCGGATCAAATGACTTGTGCTGATCTGCTGTTCTAATGTTGTCCTCCAGAGGATCAATTCCAGTAACTGAAGCTCCCAGTCTACCTAAAGGCTAATAATACAGAGTATAATTTATTCTCTGCATGAAAACAATTTACTTAAAGGTGTCTGCAACTTTGCAATGTACATACACGATACAGAAAACATCTATCAGAGAACAAGACAAGCAACAGTAAATTATGAGCTCTGATCCAGCAGTTTTATTTTAAATGTTTATTAAAGCAAGAAAACCCTTAGATTTGGGGGAGGTGGTGTTCATTTTCTTATAAAATTATATTCTGGAATATACACATTTAAATTGTGGTTGAGAACAAATTGTTCTGAATCCATTCCGTTATACCAAATAAAGATTTCCTCCACTATTACCCTCTGATAGCGAAAAAACAACGGGGGGAAAATCAACACAGTACTTAAAGGGGGGAACACAATGCCATATTTAATTACTGTCATTACTTTCTTCAACATCCACCTGTAATGGTAAATCCTCATATCTTTTTAATGGTTACTTAATATATGATTATCTCTAGGACATTCTCACTGCTGAGAACTAAACACTAATGTTTACTAGGATAGCATCAGGCTTGGCTGTCACTCAAGTTTCTCCAGTGTCTCCTTACTCATAGGTTAACACCTCAGCCATCACCTCTTCTGAAACTGAAACAGGTTGCAGAATATGACCACGTGTATGTTATTCCAACCTGAAATTCACCAGTTGTTCAGCCTGAGAAGGTGATGCAGCACACGAGTTTTGCCAGCCTTGTCAGGGATCAGGCTCTCACAAGACTACAGGAATTCGCATAGAATAAAAAAAAAATAAAATAAAAAAATGGGGAGAGATTCAGGTCCCTTTGTAACACCTTTCAGATGCTGATGAAGCTCCCAGCCAACCAGATCTGCAATCCTAAATTTGCAAACCATCCCTAGTCTACTGATAGGATACAGCACTGCTCAGAGCCTGTGGGGCCAAAGGGTTCCACCATAAATAGTTGGTTCTCAATCCCAAATTTATGCACTCTCAGGAAGCATCAGCCCCAAACCAGAAGAATCTCTCCTGACAGAGGGAAGGTGTGTCTCAGGTGTTTGACATTATTCCATGCTTTTCCCATGAGATCAAAGTAAAGCAAGAATCCCCACCTCCAATATAAAAAACTGAAGATAAGCAATTCAAAATGAACATGTAAGAACAAGTTTATAACAGAAAATACCTCCGATAATGAGGATTTTCATGATTTACAAGCCTAGGCAAGAAAACTTTAGTCAATTAAAAAGAGAGAAAAAAAAAAAAACAGGAAAAAAAAAAGTTGTCATACTGTGTCTGCCCAGAGGAATACTCAAAAGACTTTTACATCGTTCTTCCCCTCTCTTTTTCTTTACAGTGTTTGAAATCTTATTTTTCTGATGAACCTCAGAATTTTACAATTTCTCACTACCAACTTTTCTGCAAACCACCACTGCTATGCTAACTAAATATTCTATAGGGTTTGTCAAATGCACTGCACTCCAAAACATTCAGTAACTAATATACCATAAAAGAGAAGGAGGATTAGAAATTAAGGACTGTAATAGTACACAATTCAAGTACTTTGTACCCTTTTTAACAAGAGAAACCAAAGCACACTGTTTCTTACCTCACTGAGCAGTCCACCACCGCAGCCAACATCGAGAATCTTTACTCCAGAAAGTGGATTTCCCAGATGATAATTACTACTCATGTTCAACAGAGTATCTCTGAAAGAAAAGCGATGTCATTAAGGGCAAACACACAAGGTGGTTTAGTACATGCAATACAGTTACCTTAAGTACTGGGTTTTTTTTTTCTTTTATAATGTTTTCTGAAATAGTAGATATAAAAAAAAAATCTGTCTTTAAAACTATACCTAATAAATGGCACTCTAATATCATTCATAGAATGAAGGGCTGAATATTCTCCTTCTTCATCCCACCACTTATGTGCGAGGAGCTGGAATTTTTTAATTTCCTTTGAATCCACTGATGGGTGTGAAGTGCTGAAAAGTCTCTTCACAGTGAACCTAAATAATGAAAGCTGAATGTAATGAAACTAATACTAATCCTTCATGTCAGCTGAAATATGGGAAAAACAAATTCGGCATCAGAAAATGAAAAAAAAAAAAGATAAAACCAATGATCCTTTAGAGACTCTAGTTATACTTAATTAATAACAGTTTTTATACACCGTATGTGTAACATATATTCCAAAACAGATGGCTGCATACCTGTAATTTTTAAGGTAGTAATTAATAAAATAAAAATAGGCCACATCAAAGATTTAAACATTTGTAAGATTTAAAAATTACTTCATGTGACACACTCATAAAGTAAAATTAAGTTGTTACAGGAAATTATAGTCCTTGACATGCAGGATTACTTTAGACACAATACTTACATGCTGCTTTTTATTTCGGTCTTAGAGACAGGCAGAGTACTACTGGATTTCAGCTGTATTTTCCAGCTGTAGTTCTGAAGGGTACCTCTCAGGCCTGTCTGAAAAGACAGATCAGCATGGTCATCTGCATAAATAAAAGAAAGGCAACCAAATGGAAAACATCAGCTTTATGAGAGCTCACAGGCAAAAAAATAGTTTAACAATGCCGCTGTAGAACAACAGTAACCATGCAAATCTTTACACATTTCTCACTAAAGTACTCAGGGAATGCATGAGGATTAAATAAAAGAGCATGTGTAGTTCACCACCCCAGTACTTCTCAAATTATTAATTATGTACGATGATGCTTTTCAGAGCCTGAACAGAAAGGAACTTTTCACGTAGCTGAAACATTTCAGTTAGTGAGAATTTCACCAAAATGATTACTCTGACCACAAGTTGTGCGTACACAGACACACAGTTATCAGCACTGCGTTCAGATTCCTGTTTCATTACATACTGGAATATGACATGCACTGCTGCACACTCCCTTTGTATTGTACGAACTGGTAATGAAACGTAAGACAGCCTCACGGACAGCGCTGAGACAGGCCAAAACACTGTCCCGAAAACCGCTCTCCACGTCTGCTTTGCCAACACGCGGCTGGGCTCCCCCGGGCCTGACGCGCACCCACTCGCCCCAGCAGCTGCCTGGACACCCACAGTGCCCAAACCACGGCAGCGCCGCACCGCGCCCGCAGGGACGGCCCCGCAACGGGGTTTTAGGCCGCAGCGAGCCACGGAGAGCTCTGCGCGTACCCCTGAAGGGCTGCGAGGGAGGTGGCAGGGGACACCGGCTCCTCTGAGAGCTCCCTTAGCTGCCTGCCGCGCCCACCGGGACCTGCCGCCCAACGCCCGGCGGGCT